TTCCTCTCTCTCTCTCTCTCTCTCTCTCTCTCTATTTGTCTCTCTTTTTCTGTTTGTTTTTATAGTAAAATGTAGTATACGCTAAAGCTTGTATCAATTAATTGCATTTCTACAATTTTTTTTGTAAGTATGATATATATTTAAATTCAGTAACTTAACCGTTTGAGTGCCAAGAAATACCATCGCGCTCCTCACACAAATAATTAATTACGTTTATATTATTATTTTTTATAAACATAAAAAAAACATCGATTTAAAGACGATTACTCAAATGGTACTCTATTTGCTATTGTTGTAAACTTGTTTAATTAAATTCTGTTTCTCTATTTATAGTTGTATAAAATTGAAAGAGAAAATTATATAAACTGGAAGAGAGTGATATTAAGAATTAATTAAATGGTTATTGTGAGAAATAATGGAATCTTATTATACGCAATGATACATTTGAAACATATGATAGGATATATGTACGTATCTAGAAAGATATTATAATTATTTTACAATTGTAACTAATAGTTATATTATTTGTCTTACCTTTGTTTGAATACATTAATTTATTGTTGCTACTTACAATTTTGTCAACTAACTGTATTAAGAAGTTGTAATATTTCTTTTCAGTAATAATATTACTAAAAATAATTTTGTATCTAATTACAATCATTTGGGCAGCAGTGTGTTTATTTATTTAGCTCTGTGTCTGCGATCATTTTTCAAATAATATTCATGTTAGATTTCAGTTCAAATCATGTTAGATTTTAATTCAACTTAATAATAAACGTCAAACATAAAAGGCACACTAAAAAAAACGAGTTGATTTTGGAATTTCCAAAATGTTTCCCAACATGCTTGGTACACATGGTTGCAATTAGATTGGAGTATCTTATGTCAAATCAACCGCTATTCTTGCAAGATTTCAGTTTTTGATTATTATTTATTCCGGTCACCTTAAAACATTTATGAGATAGAGAAATCCAATCATCAGAATCTATAGAATCTGGGGAGATATTTTTCAACAAAAATCTAAGTTTTATACCGATAGTAAAGCCATCTATAAAATGGCATCTCCGTTACTTGCTACTCTCACTATTAAAAATCAAATTCGGACAAAATTAAGTGCTAATTTATTGCTAATTTATTGCCCTAATGTGGAATTTATTGCTCTAATGAATTCGCAGGAAATTAACATTGAAACATTTTATATTTATTGCTTTCGAGATATTCTAGTCCCGAATTTATTGCTTAATATTTATGTTAAAAAATAGACTTGTACCGGTGTTAAGTTAAAGTACGTTAAATTGATTGACTGCTTTATCGATTTTGATTTTTAAATTAAAATGTTTTGAGAATTTATTGTGCTTGATATATTTAAAAACGGTATTTTTCGATTTGCGATATAAATTGAAAAATAATAGAGAATCTGCACGCATAATGTATCTGACATAGCTATTATTATTACTTAAATATATATATTGTTACTTAAATATATTACTTAAATATATTACTTAAATATTATTACTTAAATATTGAGTAATATAATTCGGAACTAGGATATTTTGAGAATCAATAATAAATATCGGAAGTATTTTAACATAAAAGTCGAAAACTAGCATCATCACATCTATTATCTGTATTTCTTAACTTAACCCTTTCGTTACGGTCGTCTCTACCGCGAAACGCATTGCACAGTACAGCTGTATAAGGCTGTGCGCATATTTCGTAGAACAAAACGACTATGTACTTAATTAATTAATAATTAATTTATTTAAAAATAAATAATTGTTATATGTAAATTTTGATTAAAAAAACGAGATGAATTTTTGCATCAATTTTTGCATCAATTTTTGCATTTTAACGTCAAAATATATTGTATGCTTATTATCTCAAAGTATGAGCACTATAATTTTGTATGCGTCGAGCAACTATAATCGCTCGTTGTATCCAGTGGTCGTTTCTCGGCGAGCGACTGCAATCGTCCATAATAATGAATAATAACGAAAGAGTCAAATTCAATTTTTGGCCATCTTTTTGCAGAATGTCAGAGCAAAAAGAATAGCATAAAATTCTAATACATTTTTTTTTTTAATTTACTTTTTTAGACATGTTTTTCGAAAGTTGGGGTGCCAACTTGATATGTTTTGATAGCTGCAATTGTAACCAATATTACATTACTATATATTAATTAAATTGTTTTTCTTTACAATGATTTATGAATTCTGTGTGATGTTATTTTGTTGCACAAACGAGAAATAACATCGAACAGAATCAATTAGTTTTCTTAAAGCTCACGAGCTACGAGCTACCAATTACGGCATTAGACATTTAACTCCACGACACTACGGCGAGAACACGTCGGTACAGACTGCCCGAGGTATCAAGACGGTTTTACGGATCTTTTATTCTCTTTGCTTGCGATTAGTCGCATTCTTAACGCGATCCGCTTCTTCGAGAACTGTCTACTTCTTTCGGTCCATTGGAAATAAGCACATTTAATTACGCATTCATTCTAATGCAACACAGTGTTGTAATAAATAGCTTGTACAAAATTATTTGTGACAGGTGTATTTGCGAATTAACACAAATTTAAAAGTTTGATTAGATTCGATACACTATAAGATTTCTTTTACTCTATGCACTATAAGATTTTCTTTTCTTTGAAAAAAAAGGCAAGAAAAGCTGACGGAAAAGTTGATTCTTTCAGCGTATTCGCACGGGCTACGCGATCACGCGGTCTCATTGCCAAATATGGTTGGCCGCGGTATTCTTAGCACTGGTCGAGCGCAAACGACACTCGACGAAGTCGCCCGACGGAGCATACCTCTCGTCATCGTCGTCGTTCTCTTCGTCGCCTTCATTTTCCTTCTTGTCGTTTATAGTCATTGTTATCACCATCATTACTATTACACTATCGTCTCATCTCTCGGTACTTCTCACTAAAGAATAAACTAAAACGAACCTATATACACAAGTAACAAGGCGACGCATGTACAAGTATGGAAGTTTCAAAGCTAACTCACAAAGTTAAAATTAAATTCATGGCAAAACATAGAGTATAGAGTATAGAGAATAGAGTAGAGAAAAATAAATGGTAAAAGTTAATTACAGCTTCGCAAATAAAACAAAGCCAATATAAAGCAAAAGAAACTAAAATTTAAAGGGAGAGAGTGAGAAAATGGAAGGAGAATGGAAAAAAGGAAAGAGAAAAATAAAGATACGTCAATATTGATTGCCGGAAAATAAGAATGCCATCACGTTTGGTGGTAATATGGGCAATTCTTTTTATATCCATACTTGTCGATCGATTAATGACGTACATGGAACCTTCGTGCGATAGTGATCGACGATATTCTTTAAACTTTTTTTTTATCGTTTCGCACACGCGCGATGCTGGCGATATCGTTGCTAAGCAGAGAAGCGACTGATCTGTCGCGATATATGAGCCCTTTTACACCAATTAGACCATAATTAATCATCGATCATCGAGAACACTAATGAGATTATTAGAGTCGACAGTGGTGGTCGAAATATAGTATAGGATACGAAATATATCAATATGTATGTAGCTTGTCTATAAATAATCTTTTCTGTATCGGATTGCATACAAAGGATTATGATGTCTTGAAATATTATAATATATAAATAATATTTTTGTGCAATATATTTGCTAATCTTACGCATTGTTTCAGTTAAATCGATTGACCTAATTGATATTTAACGAATGGAAAAAACGTAAACAAGTAATATGTAAAATAAGCGATAAAACAAAATTTATATCTGTCCAGAAGGACAAGTTCAATTTCTTTTATTCAGGAGTCAAAATTGAAAGTATGTGCTGTACATGCCGCAGGCATGTAAAGCTGGCACTCCAAAACTGGTTGCCATCTGGCATGCAAAACATAAATCTGGACGGTTCTCATTAACGATTTCTTTCAATTTGTCGATCGAGTTGGGTGCAGAATTTGTTAAAATCAGTCGTTTGATTATGCGAGAGAAATTCATGACATAATACACAATACCCTTCAAATTCCATCATACGCCGAGTATCATCTTCTTCGGATAAAGATCGACCTTTGCAGTCGTATTTGGTAGCTTATCTCGCTTGTGTCAAAAAATTTAACCCTACAAACAGTTTAGAAAAAGACTTTGTAACAAAAATAGAAATAGTCTAGACGGCGACGATGATGATGACTTGCTCAAAAATTTCAATATCTCTGACTTTGATCTCTCTTTTGTAACTCATTTATTGATTTTGATTAATATTGTTTCAGATCGCCACTTCAGTTCTGCGAACCACATCTTGAACACGTCGGGCATCGTTTCTTTCAACACGCTATTTAAAAAATTCCTAAATAATAATATTAACAATCACGGCAATAAGTATAAGAGAGACAAAAGCAAAAGGCGAGAAAACAAAGCGAGATACGGAAAAGAAAAAACGATGATGGATCACGTATTGAAAAATTATAGGAAAGTTTGGCCTGAAATATGCCAGCGATAGCAGTAACACTTGAACAATCTTCAAGAACATCGTCGACTGAAACAGCGGAACAGTGTCAATCTTTGTCATCATTGTTATCTTCATCCTGGGGTCACCGGGTATACGCAACCCGACGTGATCTCTTTGTGTCAGCGATCATCGATCCGTATTCCAGCAGAGCAGTGCACCATTTGGATTTAAATGCATGCTTCGCGAACGAGTTACATTTGGAACAAAATTTAGTAGATTGTCAAACAATTCATTTTAGTTATGCAATTCCAATTAACGTCGTACCGATTCGTGAGAGTCCCAAGCTGGTCAAATTGGTGTTAGATCAGTCCGTTGAGTTAAACGGTCAGGCGGTGAACTTTTTACTAGACCGTCATCCGCAACTACATCGACGACATCTCCATGATATGGCTGCCACTGCAAAGCATGATCTACGTCAGAAATTTCCCGCGGATACGTCCACTTCCGGTGAGGAAGATATTGCCGCAATTGCCAAGCAGATTAGCGATCACGCAGAGGCGATTTATCAGACGTGGAAGAGTCGTGGATTAGCACCGACAGAGATCTTAACTTGCCACAGCAACGCAACGGCTGTTGATAAATTTGGCAGCGCATTGACACCTTGTAATTTGCCCGCTGTCGGGAATACCATCGCTGTGAACAACATTGGTAGTAAGATGTTACCATCTCTTGGATGTTCTTCTCCGACAACAGTAGATATACTCACCCAAACGCCAAATTTAGACAATGGTAATCTTGAAAAACTAGTCAACAACTTTGTAGTAGAAGATAAAGCTAGAATAGCTGCTTTCAAGCAAAGATCGCCGTCAAAGCCATTACCGTCTTCCATACAATTTGCCTTGCAGAAATTTGAGAGAAATTCCATGCAACAGCAGCAGGTGGCTGGTTCTATGAAAAACGATACAATTACGACCGATAATCCAAAAAAATTGACAAATGTTTTGTTATCTCCTATCTCGTCGTTTCCGAACAAACCGTCGCAAATAGTAAAGCCCCAAATTACCGCGAAGACGCCCAGCTCTCATCATTGTGACATCCTTCTGGAAACAATTGAGACCACTTTTCCAGCTGATCTGACACCTTCTAAAAGAGCGACACAGCAAAGGAGACCTACTAGTACATTAATCGCGACATCGCCCATCAGTTCTTCGTTAAATATCGATTCGTTGCACTCGACGAGTTCGGGGCTGACAACGTGGCCATTGAAAAACAAACTAAACGATACCAAAAGAATTACAGACGTTTCTCGTACACCAGTTAAAACAACCCAGCAAGAGGATGCGGCACAAGTTTTACCAGCAAAAGATGAAAAGAGATCGATCGTGACAAAAACAAATTCGAGATGCGCGTATCTGGACGAAGTCGCGCGGGAGGAAGAAAGATTGATAAACGCGTTGAAAACAGGTGCCGTCATCACAGAGGAACCCGAAAGAACGGCTATACGCAATAGACAAAAACCGGCCATCAAGCGCGAGAAACCGAAAGTTGAATCGGTCAAGCAAATTATTATTGGAAGCCATAATTCTCATAGAACTAGCTCAATAGTATCTAGCTCTGCAATATCCAGTTCGCCAGCGAGTGCATCCAATAGCGCCGTCATCGTAAGTCATATTCCGTTAGTTAACGAATCGAAGTCGCTCAGCAAGGATGATTTATCGACTATGTCAGCGGTGGATTACGCTAAGGTTAGATACCAAGCTGCTCAACAGAATCCTCCTACACAGCAGAGGCTCGAGGAACAACGGGCTTCCAGTCATTCGTACAATTCAACCACAGAGCAATTGGTTTCTAGCGCAAAAACAAAATTTGAAATGGAGATACAAAAGGATAAGGACATTAAGGATTCAGACAAGGATTCGGTGACGTCTAAATGGGGACCGAGAATCACTCCTTTGCGGCCACGTCTCGAGCAAACAGTACCTCATCCGGAATTGACTAACCAACAGAAACAGCATATAAGAGCAGCGGCCGCGGCGACAATGGGCAACAATCCTGTGAGACCATTTCTTACCAGGGGTTCTGTGGCAGAGCGCGTACTTATCTTTGAGAAATGCCCGAGCGAATTGCTATTGGACAAGCGTGGTCCACGGCAACCGGCCATTAACATGTGGAGAAGTGGCCACGAGGTGCAGAGCAAAGCTCAGGTAATTTCTTCCCGACTTTAACTTTTCAAAAATAAAAAAAATAGTCATTTATTTTTTTTTGAATTTTTATATTTTTTACATTATTAGTAGAATGCGATGTTTATGGAAGAAAGTTATCTTTATTATCCCACTAATCCGTAGAGAGGTGGATAAGCTTGCATTGATATAAACATTACGTGGATATGCATATTGCTCGAGTATAGCTTATGGAAAGTTTCCCAATTGAAATCATTCAGAGACGTCTGATTTGATGTAACTATTTTTTTAACGATTGTTTTTAAATTCAAATATAATGACTGATCTAAAACTGGTTGCCAATCTACATCCAATCTTCTTACTCTATAGATAATAGTTTTGAGAATGTTTTAATTTTAATAATAAAATAAAGAAGAGGAAAAAAAGAAATTTTTTTTCATCTATTTCTATCTTGATGTTTTGGTATTTGATATTGTGTAAAGATTTCTCATGGTAACATGCCGTTATCGAATCGCTACGTGAATCGCTACGTGAATCGAGTAAGAGCAATCATGTAACAATTGTGATGTAATCTATCGTAAGACACTGAGGTGCGGCGATGCATTAATCGCCTCTTTGCATTCTTCGAAATCTTCCTACGATGTCTGGTAATAGAATGTCTGCGCATGTCCTTGATTTGAGTTATAACAAACCCGTGAAATGTGAGTCTTAAAAAAGATATCTCACACATTCTTATTATTTCTCGCTCAATTCAGCATCGATTGTAGCCAGTAACAGTAGTTTACAGATAGATATTATACTTTTTTTCTTTGGGTAAAACTTTTTGAAATATAAATTGTATCGCTTTTTTTTAGACTTATACGAGAGAAAAGACTCAACAAAAGAATTTGCCGCCACATACAACTTTACAGAGACAGGTCAAAGCCAATAGAAATGTTTACATACCGAGGTTTGTATACATTGTATCACATGGAATATGACAAGCATCTTGTCCTGATTTGATTGAGTTAATTTCACAAATAGCAGATAAATTATCGATTTTTAAAATAATGTATTCTGTTCTTTTTTTATTTTATTTATTTATTTTTTTTTTTTGCAGATTTTATTTTCCTGGAGGAAAGCCAGTTCCTCTCTCACAATTGGAAATGACCGTCTCGAAGATTACCGCAGCCTTTCAAAGTTTATCGAATTGTCGTGCTACTCGCGTGCAATTTTGTACCATCACAAAGGTTAGAATTTTCCCGATCGTTACCTTCAATAACTCATGTTAGAGTAAGAAAAATAATATTATATTGTTAATACAATACACGGTACATCAACATAATATTCTTCTATTGTTTATAATTGTATAATAAATATGTAATACAAGGGAAAGTCAAAAGACTTTTTTGAAGGGTCTGATTCTTATTTTGTATATCCTGCAAATTATATCGTACCTATTTTGTTATTTGTGCAGGCTTGTGACTTGCCCTTATATTGGAAAGTACCGCTTTTCTTAGCGGCGGACGGTGAACAGAAAGGATACGTCGAGATGAATGCTTTCTTGGAATTTTGGAAAGAGTAAGATATAGAACGCAATGTTTATATTTCTTATTCGAAATATTGTACACAAGCGACAATGTATACATATATAAATACTTTTTCTCAATTATGATAAAATTACGAAATGTGCTAGTTGCGATAAGTAAATTCAATATTTCTTCTTTACAGTTAAAGCGGAAATTAGATGGAAATTAGATTTTATTTCATAAAATCGTGGATCTACGTCTACCTATAATCGTGGTGCATGTTTTATTTGAATAACTTTTGTAATAAATTCAATTGGCAATTCATATTATTACTGTTACAGACTAACAACTACTCATCACGATGCAGCTAGTAAATTTGTCAGAATTGTCACTCGAGCACTTCGGAGCAATATCCTTCCAGAGGATTTAATTCCACTCGTACAGGACGTAGTGGAAACGCATCCAGGATTGACATTTTTAAAAGAAGCTACGGAATTCCATTCCCGTTATGTGCACACGGTTTGTACGGAATAACTGTTTCATCTCTCCGATCAAAATTTTTTCAACTAAACTACCTACGGCTTTTAGCTTGACAATTATATTGATCCGCAAAAGTAGACATTTCTTTTTATTATCTGGAAAAAAAGGAGCTTTTCATAGGTTTTTGTGCACTAAATACGAATCCAATTTAAAAAAATGTACATTACATCGAAATTTTGAAAAAATCAAACAAAAATGTGTCCAAAACAAATTTTTTAAATTAATTAATTTATGATGTCATTTATGTTTATCTTATGTCATGACATTTTCAAGACTTTAATATCAACTTGAAGACCACAAAAAAATGGAAATATTTGAATGTTGAATAATTTTTTTAGAGCGATAAGAAACAAGACTGAAAACATACACCTAACATATTTTTTTATTCACATCTAGTACATCTAAATTTTTGAGAATTTGATCGCGCTCGTTAATGAAAACCTTGCAAATTACCCGTGTGTAAATTATGGATCAGATTAATCGTTGACGGACACTTGTGAAAATTGTAGGTGATTGCCAGGATATTTTATTGCGTGAACCGAAATTGGAGCGGCAAGATTTCAGTCGCGGAATTAAGAAGGAGCAATCTGCTGGCAGTGATCGCCGTGCTTGAACACGAGGAAGATATCAATCAAGTCACCGCCTACTTTAGCTATGAACATTTCTATGTGATATATTGCAAATTCTGGGAGTTGGATCGCGATCACGACCTTTTCATAGATAAAATGGATTTAACAAGGCACAACGATCATGGTGAGGAAGCATGTTTCGCACTTGAATATATCGTTATACATACATATATACATCAATATAACTAATTTAAGGCGAGTCTTTAACACATTTTGATACATTAAATTATCTTCAGCGTTATCGACCCGAATGATCGAAAGGATATTTAGCGGTGCTGTAACAAGAGGTAGTAGGATAAAGGGCAGTAATAATACGCAACAACCAGAAGATAAGATGAGTTATACGGAGTTTGTGTGGTTTCTTCTCAGCGAAGAAGATAAAAATCATCCAACTGCTATTGAATATTGGTTTAGGTAATTATTTCGCGTCGATCATACGAAAGACAGTAGAACTTACAAGTTGTGCCGTTTGCCTTTTAGTACGTGTTATAATTTTTCGTCGATAGATGCATGGATCTCGATGGCGATGGTTATTTGTCGATGTACGAGTTGGAATACTTTTATGAAGAGCAATTACATCGAATGGAAGCGATTGGTCTGGAAACATTGCCTTTCGAAGACTGCCTTTGTCAGGTAACATGAGAATTATAGAGGCTTACATATCGATAATGGAATTCTAAATTGTTGATACTATACGAATTGAATATGTCGGGAAGCGTGATAAGCGCGATACACAAAGTAATGGAAGAATATAATGTGTCTCAGATGTTGGATATGATTCATCCGGCAACACCAGGCAAAATATCATTAAGCGACTTGAAAAATTGTAAAATGACGTCCATTTTCTTTGATACTTTCTTCAATCTGGAAAAGTACCTGGATCACGAACAAAGGGATCCTTTTGCCTCGACGAGAGATCACGATGTTGATGGTCCTGAGTCGGAGA